TGCACAGAGATACTATCCGAATCGCATATTAATCATCGATTACTGGAAGGACGCAAATACGGTAAAATACGACACCGAAGTCTGTACCACCTTTAAGAGAAAAGCATTTCTAAGAAAGACTTCGAAGGAATGTCGATAAAACGTAACGTTTCTAAATAATCCTTACCGTGGTGAAACTCTTCAGAGAAAATATGTACATCTTGCCAGCGCTCAAAAAATTCGGTTGCATACTCCGCAGCATCACGTGCAGAAGCAGCCTTTGCGATTTCGGGGGTATATTGTACCAAGAAGAGTTATATCTGCAACAATTTTGCATCTCAATTGACCATCGAGCTCTCGACTTCCAGCAACGATGATTAAAATGATCACTTTACATCTTGTCGCGTATTTGCATGCTGTGATCGATCAATCTCTGGCCTTGCACACTGAAGTAGAACAAGTGGACTATTTGATTAAAGACAAATGACGCGCATCTCAACACTTCCAAAACTTCGTTTAACTGCAACATTATCTTGAAGATAAATATATTTTAATCTCTTGCCTTAATCAACGCGAGTGATACACAAACACGATCTCGAAAAGTGCATGTATCACAGATGTATTGCAACAACAAATAGACGCGTACTTGTAGCAGAGAAATGCTCATCGCAACGGTAATTATTATTAATTGTACGGCAAAAGTGACGCAGAAGATGCTTTCAAGAAGCTGCGCAAATCTGCAAGCAAATCTTGCGATATAAGCTGTATATCAATAATTTCTTTTTTCTTTTTACATTTTAATACAATGTTGCATGTGATTTTACCGTAAAGCTCGCCAATGTGCGTGCACTGAGATAGCGATGTTCTGATAATATACGTCGTTCGGATTAGTAATATTTATTGCGTTGTCACGAACGTTACGAGATAGAGTCTGGAATCGAAATCTGCGAACATTTAGGCAACAGTCTAATTTTTCCGATCAGACACAATTGAGAGAATGCAAGAAAAGTACAACTTTTTTCTTACCCAGCTACAGCAAAGACGCTGCAGGCGTGCTGGATATAAGCCACAATCATGCTATCGTGCGCGATCATCGCCGTCAAACATATCTCTACGCTTACAAAAGCGTGGAACAAAATGTAGAAAAAGTATTTTTCGCTGTCCACGAAGTAATAAGCCTCATAAGGCATTATTATGGGCCGGGATTCATTGAGCGGTAATACGACATTCATTATGTGAGGTATGAGACTAATTAATATAAACATACCACCAGCTATGTAATAATATACTGCAATAAACAACATAACAATCATCTATCCGTTAAAATAAAAATAGCATCAAGTGATTTGTCCTTACAGCAAGAGACCAAACAAAACAGTTTCGAGTTCGCAGCATACTTTTTCATAATTTCGTACTCCTCTGAACTTTCCAACTTCTCCCAGTCGCTACGCAGATAATCAGTGAGACTTTTGATCTAGAAACATACTCGATGAATATTCAACATATTAACAATCGTGACAGTGAATCGCGATCGTGAAAAACAATAAAAATTCGAGTAACTATATTTTTTTGTTAGGACATAATATATGTAAATGTAAATCAGTATATATCTATAATGTTCTAAGCTATCTTTCGATCAATGGCCACGTTCAGCAGACTAAGCAGATGAATGAGCGCTTATGGTGATTCGCTGGATCTGAGTGAATAAACCAATCGTAACAAAGAATCACTGAGCGCTCACTGATTGGGACTGTCTGCTGAACGTGGCCATGAATGTATCATAAAAATTTTGATATGGCGTACTTTGCTATTGTTCAAATGGCACGCGTACAGAGATCGGAAGAGCACACGTC